TTTAGTCGGAACTCTCCACTATGACCTGTCTGTCTTGGGTGGCCCTACACGGCATAGCCCATAGCTTCACTGAGTTACTCAAGCCCCTTTGCCACGACAAGGCAGCAATCTATGAAGGGGAGTCTTTATGTTACTTGACAAAAATAACATAATCATGGTGTTATTTGTAACACATTACTTCTAAGCTCGAAAGGGAATTTGCAAAAAAAGAAGAAGAAGAAGATGAGCAGTGCCTGCATCTCCTTCAAGTCAGAAGACTGAGAATGTTATATTTGCAGTCACCTTGTTACTTAACACTACATAACTTTGGCTGGAATTTGTCCCCCAAAGTACACTGTGAATGGATGAGCAAAAATTTCATGCAAACATTTTAGGGCTAAACAAAAAATATTTTAATATAACAAAAATTCTTAACCACTCAAATTGTTTGTTTTATAGATTCTGGCTGGAAAAGAGCTTGACATTACATTTAGGCACCTTCCATGACTGGGAAAGGAGCAAGCACTGCTGTAACAAAAAAGGTTAAAAATGCAGGTTGACTCCTTATCTCAGGGGTGAGTGGCGTATAGGTTTCATATTTTCCCCAGCCATTTTAACAGTCCTCCACTGGTGACAATAAGGGGATGGGGGGGGGCTTTGCTTGTTCATTTCCCTTCTGGAAGGGAAAGGGAGGAGATGTTCAGCCTGACAGGTTGCAAAGCTTTTTGGTGCAGGAGTTTCTTTGGCTCCCACCGCTCGATGCAGCCCCTGATCCTGGGAAGCTTTCCTACCTTATCTGGACAGGTGAATTTGTGCCAGTGTTTATTAAATCTACTCCAAATCAAGCAAGAGTACATCGGGGGGATTCTCAACAGACCTATGCAAGCAACCACACAGGCCATTGGTCCATTGGCACAGTGAGAAAGTATACCACTGCCCCACTCATCCCCACAGAAGCCAACAAAATAGTCACCAAAAACTTACCAAAAGAAACACCTTTATCAGAATACATGCACAGTAAATTAAACAAATTACAAGAAAATCAATGAAAGAATAAAAGAAAATCAAACAGGAAAAGCATACACATACGTATATCCAGAAGAAGAAAAAATAGCAAAAAAAGCCGTCTCCCCCGCAAAAGAGCAAGCAAGAAAATAACCCACCACTACCAAAATGACTATCTTCCCACCACCCCTTGTTGCCTTCCTTTCTGTTCTTTGAGGCCAGCAGGCAGGTCCAGAAGGCAGCATAAAGTATTCCCAGTAAGAAACAAATGAGTGGGGGGTATATCCAAAGAAACTGGAGGGGTTGTCAAAATATAATCTTAAAGAGTGGCTGTCTTGTGGAAGCAGCAACATAATCCAAAGAAATTAAGGAAAGTCCTTCCCAGTTTGCTGTCCTCTGAAGATGCCGGCCACAGAGA